AACTAAACTGAAAATGGTTATGGGAAACATAATTTTGTTGTCATTGCTAAGATCATAACAAATCGTTAAATTTTTAATTTAATTTAATTATTTAGAATAATTTATAATTAATAAAATAATAATTAAATTAATAATCTTAATAAAAATTATGGTAACAACAACTTCAGCCGCCTCAACTAGTACTCCCACTGTTGGTAAAAAAAAAAAAAAAAGAGAGAAAAAACCGAGTACTCCTACTACTGAAGAAGACTTTTCTATTACCTAAGAAAAAAAAACACGAAAAACTCATCCCCTCGTACACGCCGGTCGCTATCTGAAAACGATTTGCTCTTTCCATCATCCAAATAATATTACGTTCGCTAGCCATCACAGTTATAATGGTAGTATTCAGTCAGAATCAACCACATGTCGGCATTAATGAATTAACAAAAAAAAAAGGAGTTTCATCTTGAATTTTTTTTTTTAATTTTAATATTTAAAATACACTTTTAATGTAAAATTTGATTTAAAAAGTATTTTTTCCATTACTAAATACATATCATCATTAAAAGGCTCAAATTAAAAATTAATACAATATTCTAAAAAATTAATTCATGGGAATTTATATCGATATGGTTTACAAACAATAACCAGTATAATATGTACAAAGTAGATTATAATATAAACAATCATATACATAAATCTCATAATTTAAGTTATGAAACAAAATTCATATAGTTATAATTGTATTGTAGTATTGTAAATTTATATTCCATTCATTTAATTTTAATAAATTTAATTTTTAATTTAAGGTGTTTAAATTTAATTATTCACTTTATTTAACATTTTTATTCTTATTTTAGCTTAATTTTAAAAAAATAATTATAACATATATTACATAGAAAGTTATATTTGTGGTAATTTAATAATTACAATACAATGTAAAATTATAAGTTTATATTCAACAACATATTAAATAGAGAGTTTTATGTACGGTAATGATTAATCCCACAACAGGCATTCAAGATCCACAACCTGAAATACAATCCCCCACTTAGCCAAATTCCTTTTTTGAAAGCCAATCTATCAAGAAAAAGTCTCCACCTAATTATGCATGCTAACCTTTGATGGAATATATTTACACCAAATCAATCTACACAATTGCCATCTAATAAACATAACTCAGATAATAACATGTTATATACTTTTTTCACTGAAGATTCACCTCCTACATCATGTTTCCATCCCCACACATCCGCCCCACCCTCCTTTAATCTCACGTTTTCTACCGACAACATTAACACATTTTCTTCCCTCACCTCCCTCCCCATCCGAGCCCTTCTCCATTTGGACTTCCAGACCCAAGTATCACCCTCCCATTCACCCATGTCCCTCACCTTCCCATTTTTAAGTCATGACAATGCAAATAACTGAGGAAATACATCTTTTAGAGGCCTACCCCAGCCCCATCCCATTTATCGAACCAAAACAGAATCCTCTTCCCTTGATTTGAAAGTTTATGAATGATGGTGACAAATCTCATTCATTTATATTCGAGAGATGAATAATTGATGTGTGTAAGTGAATCATAACTTATAATTAATTTATACTTTTATCAATTTAACTATTAATTATTGAAAACCTCATCCCAATATCATTATCGTTTTTAAATCACAATGATGTAGTTACAATCTTATAT